TTGGGGGCATTTTGAAATTATATGTGAATGGAGCAGTAGAAATACCTATAATGTAGATCTATTAATTATCAGTAGTTTTTGCAAACAAAAGAACTAGGGGGAGTGACTTATTACATTCAAAAATGGGTGGGAAAAAATTGCATTCCTGTTCTAGAGCCTCCTAGTAATGGTAGGCAAATGTTCATCCCTTGTGTCCTGGGTGTCTCACTGGTCACTCTTTCTGCCGAGAATAAGCAACAAGGCCACTGGAGGATATCATGGAACACCATGGATTTTGGTGCCACCAGAATACTGTGCTCCTGGGCATCATGAATCTTTGTGACAAACCCAGGAAACAGGCTCAGTGATATCTGAAGAGCTAACCCAAGTATCTTCTTGGACTAAGTCCAATTGGCCAAAGCTCAACCCAGATAGAATAAAAATGAACCTAACTAAAAAGAGGAGAAATTGGAGATCTTGCAAGAAACCCAACATTGTCAGGCTAGTGAGTAATTTTGTGGTAAATTGCTATTTTCAGAACCCCAAAGGAATGCATTGGCGAAAAATGCATTCTTTCACCTCTAACTCATCAGGAAACCAAGAGCCAGACATGAAGTGTAATTCTAGAAAGTATTGTCTCGAATTTACTCAGTTTAAAGTGAAAACATACAGAGAACAGACATGTTATCACCAACTAGAACCCCATAAAGCACTCAACTTGGTCTGTGTAGAAAGCAATCAAGTACAAACTTTTAGTGAAGTAAACACTGAACCAAGGGTCAAAAGTCCAGGCTGTGTCACTAAACTAGCTGTGCGGATTTTTTTTTTTTTTTAAGATTTTATTTATTTATTTGACAGAGAGAGGCACAGCGAGAGAGGGAACACAAGCAGGGGGAGTGGGAGAGGGAGAAGCAGGCTTCCCACCGAGCAGGGAGCCCGACGCGGGGCTCGATCCCAGGACCCTGAGATCATGACCCAAGCCGAAGGCAGACGCTTAACGACTGAGCCACCCAGGCGCCCCTAGCTGTGCGGATTTATGCTTACCTCCTCTACTCCTCTTTTCTCCTTCATTTGAAATAGCGCATATATACCAAAATTATAGAGAGACTGCATATATTTGTACCTAGGTTTGTCAGATCTTAACATTTGGACTTATTTCCTTCAGATTGTTTTTAAAAATATGAAACAGCAAAGACAGTTGAAGTCCTCCGAATGTCTCACTCTCCTCACCCCGCACTCTCTCCAGCCCCACAAGTGTAAGCACTGTTCTGATTCCTGCTATCGTTCCCATGCCTGTTATTAAACTGTCACCTCAGAGGTACAGATCCATAAACACTACTCGGGATTGTGCTGTATGTTTGTAAATTCCGTATAGAAGATACGATGTGTACATACAAAAGTGAGCACGAATGCCAAGGTTAAGAGCAGGCACTGTGAAGCCTCACTGGGTTCAAACAGCAGCTTACCACTTCCTTCCCATGGGCCTTGGGCAAATTACTTAAACTCTCTATGCCTCCCTTTTAAACAGAAAACACAGTGGAACCTATCTTATAAGTTATCATGAGGATTAAACGCATCCAGAAAGTCCTTGTACAGTGCCCGGCACAAACTAAACACTAGGTGTTATCTGTTGTTATTCAAACATTTTACAGTATTCCATTATATGAAGAGATTCCAATTTGTGTAACTGGCCTCCTCTTGATGGACATTTAAATTGTTTCCAATTTTTTACTATTATAAACATTCTTCAACATATCTCCTGTTGTATGTGTGGCCAATTTTCGGTAGTGAATGAAATTGCTGGGTTTTAGATGAGCCCAACCTTGGCTCTAGCAGATAATTAGCATATGACTCTCCAACATGTGGTAAAAATTTTCACTCTTACCCCAAGTTCCTATATCCTCACCAATTTTAGTGTTGACTGATCATCATTTCTGTATTTGTAAAAGGAGGAGGCGTGAATTAGATGATCTCTGGAGTCTTTTTGCATTTTCTATATTCTCTGGTTTCCTTTCCATGCATTTCCCACTTTCTCCCTTCACCTAGAAATAAACTAGTCCAGTGAACAGCAAGCTTTTCTTTTGAGTCTATAAGCCTGCTGTTTGGTATTTTATATTCCGAACAGTCTATAAATGAAGACATCCAAAAATACCATTTCTGTAGTCTTGGAAGAATATTACCTAAATTGACAGTGTTTTCGCCAAGCATACTTCCAACACTGTTAAAACAGGTCAGTAGTTGCCAAACTTTTTAAAGCAATGGACTTCTTTTTTTTTTTTTTAATAAAAATATAACCTGAATTTCAATATAAATGCTGCTTGCTCTTTTTTTCTTTTGCTTACCTCTAATACATATCTTACAGAGTGGCAAGAGCTTGTAATGTAACTGTCATTATTGCTTTGTTGAACTCTCTGAAATTAAGAAATACTACGATGCTTCAATTTGTCTTGTTGCTTTATCCATTAAATTTGCATATTAAATTTTATTTGATCATGTTTTTTTAAAGATTTTATTTATATATTTGACACAGAGAGAGCACAAGCAGGGGGAGTGGCAGGCAGACGGAGAGAAGCAGGCTCCCCGCTGAGCAAGGAGCCCAATGCAGGGCTCGATCCCAAGACCCTGGGATCATGACCTGAGCCGAAAGCAGACGCTTAACCGACTGAGCCACCCAAGCGCCCCTTGACCAGGTTTTAGTTTTAGACTGGCATATAGTGTGCTATGCTAAAATCTTCTGGAAATCTTCATGTTAGGAAAAAAAAAATGCCCATTATTGTCAAAGAGCTCCGATTTTACTACTACCTGTAATTTCTGTGAAGAAAAGTAAGTTTCCAGCTTTGAAGGTTGTAATTATAGACCAATATTGCCACCTAATGGTAAGAAGTTGAATCACATCATATTTCAAGTTGGAAAAGTTCGGGTTTTTTTTAAGATACATGCAAAACTCTGAAGTGATCTATTCCTCTGAGAACATTACATTATAGCAGAGTTGGGGGGGAGGGTGCAGAGTAAACACTTATCAGACACGCTTTCAAGACTAGCTGATTGGGTTTCTGCTCCCTCATTGATCTGCCATCAATGAGTCCCAGAATTCTCTCTCATCTGCTCTCAGATGCAGTTACTAAAGATCTCCAAATTTCAACCAGCCCTCCCTTGTCCTTATATCAAGCCTGTCCTAATCTTAATATGTTAAGACAGCCAATTGGAGTCTGGAATCAGTCTGGAATATGGGTGGTTTTTGGATTACTAAAAGCAAGTTCCTGCTTTGGCATTCACCTGTACCCAGGTCAGCATCCTTACCACGAGTCTCCCCAAAGCCCCATATTTCTTGTTTCCTTAAAAGATTTCCGTATGAAGCCAGAACCCAGTTGTGAAGCTCTGCATTGCAGTCCAGGTGTCTAAACTGGAACCCCGCCACCACCTGTCAGAGCCTCCACCTGGAGGAGTCATGGAAAAGGAATTGGCTAAGTCTTCCTGATTCCAAGTCTTTGAATCAAGAATCTGCCACCTGTCCAATATAAAGCATCGGAAAGACTCACAGAGCCGGGGGTCAGAGTTCATGAAATCAGAACCCTTGGATGGCTCTAGCTGAAATCAGACTCAAAGTACCCACCCTTCTGGGTGCAGTGATGGGGGCTGCTCTCCTCGGGATCCAGGCCCTGAGCCAGGTGTGTAACTCTCACTCATCCCTACCTTAGCAGATCAAGCCTCTTCACAGTGTCTTAGAGGTGTTTATAACAGGCAACAAACAGAACAAAAAATAAAATGCGTGTGAAGGAGAAGGAAGAAGAAGAAGAAAAAGAGAGTTAAAAGAGCAGTTGTCTCAGGCAGAAACCATGTTATATATTAATGACAACCCACTCACTCCAGAACTAGTCATTTCCTCTGTAGTGAAGAAATACCTGCTAGCTGATATTGAAGAGATAAAATGTAAAATGCCAACACGAGACTGCAAACACCATGTACAGTTCAATGAATATTCTATTGGTAGAACAGAATATACTCTACCACAGACATACACTGATCAAGGTCCACAGAAATACCTGAAATGTCAAATTAACAAGATGTCATGTTAAGTCATATTATTATAGGCAGAGATAGAAATTTTATATCAATTCCAGTGATCTCTGTTAAGAATTTTTTTTAACCACATCTGGGTTAAGTAGTAGAAAGCTGTATGATTGATTAGCAATGTCTTCCACAACCACACACTTGTCATACAGTTCCCTTTTCTGAAATTTCTAGAACAATCCCATTAACTCCTTCCTGGTTCTCTAGTTAGGTGCTTCTCAAGCTTTAATGTGGGTGTGAATCACCCAGGGGTCTTGCTAAAAAGCAGATTCTAATCCAGTAGTCGTGGGGTAGGGCCTGAGATTCTGAATTTCTAAGAAGTTGCCTGATGATGCCCACGCTGGTCCATAGAACTTACATATCTCCTTTCCAGACATTACAATAATTTCCTTTGTTAATCATCCAGCAACGGAATTATTTTTATATCTTTTCTTATTGCTGGCCAGTCAGATAAGGAAGATAGTAGCCATTGCTATCAGGCCTTAATAATCAGAGAACTTGAAAAATTTATTATAAAAGTACAAATTGAGGGTTGCTGGAGGGGAGGTGGGTGGCAGGATGGGATAAATAGTGATGGGCATTGAGGAGGGTACTTGTTGTAATGAGCACTGAGTGTTACATGCAAGTGATGAATCACTAAATTCTACCCCTGAAACTAATACTACACTATATGTTAACTAACTTGAATTTAAATAAAATCTTGAAAGAAAAAATTCATTATAAAAGATTCCTACATTTTATGATTTTTAATGTTACATATTTATATATAAGCATAGATATGTGAAGTCTGATTTGTCACACTTTCATTGTGAGAAGTTTCTCTTCACCACCCTTCCTAAGTCCTAGACTACAATGATTAACGTCCTTAAAATGACCCTAAAAGAGCCTAAAAAGGTCTAAAAGACCCTAAACTCCCTACTAAATTATCAAATAAATAATATTCACTATAGTTTTAGGACTTACTTTACTTTATTGCATTCTAATTCTTTTTAAAACGGTATCCTGAACATGACGTACATGGTAATTCCCAGTTGCTCCTCCACAATGTAAAATGCCTGAAAGTGAGGGATACTTGTTCACTTTTATAAAGAGTATTACATAAAAGGAGCATATATGAAAAAGTCAGAAGATAGAGATACTGACAAGTTAATCATTCTATATCTTTGCACATTATCCATTCTGAAAAATCCTAAGGACGATGATCCTTTAATCACAGTACCTCACAAGTGGGTGTGTAGGCCCTGTGCCCTACACCCAAGCACACTCTCCTTATGGAAAAATTCCCCCAGCTGAATCTTCCTTTTCTTCCAGTTTAGAGATGCTTAATCACATCACCAAAAGGATCATGAGGCATGTCCTCCTTAATGACCAGCTTTTCAGTCCTGTGTGGAGTCCAGGAGCCCACTTTCAACTCCAGATCCTTCAAGATCTGAAAATTCTGTGTCAATAAGTGGTTTCAGAAATCTCTCAACTTTGGTTAGTCTTTGCTTCAGTTTCTGCTGCATTGACTCATACTCAGCCAGGATCCGAGCAAACCTTGTTTGCAAGAGGTCTACTGACCCCTCCATTCGGGTGACCTTCTCTTCAAAATCTTTAGGATCACCTCCAGCATTTGCAATATTTATATCCAGTAGACCATCTTTCATCAAGATTTGCTTTCCCTTCTCTTCTAGCATAGTTTTGGCATCTGGATACTCAGTGAGAGCTTCCATGAGGTCATCTTTGGAGAGACAGAACAGATCTGAGTAGCCAATACTTTTAATATTGGCTGTTCTTCGATTGCCAGCTTTGCTACCTTTAATGTTAAGGATACTGATCTCACCAAAGTAGCTGCCATCACTCAATACCACAAACTGAGTGATTCCGTCATCTGCCACCACGGCGAGTTTGCCTTCCTTGATGATGTACATCTCTCGTCCGATATCCCCTTTCTTGCAAATGTAATCTCCAGGACTGTAGACTTGGGGTTGCAATTTCAAGACCAACTCCACCAAAAGACCAGCTTCACAGTCCGCAAAAATACGCACTTTTTTTAAAGTGTCTAAGTGAACGTTGATGGCAATCTCTGCTCTCAGCTTATCAGGGAGATACTTCAGGACTTCTTTCTCATCAACTGTTTTTTTGTTGGTCCACAGATAGTCAAACCATTTGATAACTCTCTTTTCCATATCTTTGCTTACATTTCGAAAACGCATATATTGCTTGATCGCATCGATTCTTGCTTGAAATTCAGCTCTGGCAGCATTCATGTTGGAAATCATAGAACCTATGTTACCAACGATGGTAGCAAAAATTAACACTCCAATTAAGAAATCAACCACCACAAAGACATATTCAGAATCCCTCACAGGAGGTGGTGTTTCACCAATTGTGGTCAAAGTCAGTGTAGACCAGTAAAGGCTGTATACGTATTTTCTAACCAAACGGCCAAATTCAGGATCATTAACATCAGGATACACCCATGTATCATTTCCAAATCCAACAGCTTTGGAAATAGAGAAGTACACACATGCATTCCAGTGGATAATGATGACAATATACATAACAAGGTTAGAAATCCTGAAGATGTTTGGGTAGTTTGTTCTTGTTTCTGTTCTCTGGAAGAACTCAAACATTCGAGAGATCCTTAACAGTCTGTTTAATCTAATTTCTGGATAGTTCCACCCCAGCTTAAAATACAGCAGATCAGTGGGTATCACTGATAGAAAATCAAGTTTAAATTGCAAGTTTGATTTATATTTCTCTATGAGTTTAGTTTCTTCCCTCACCAGCAGTCCTTGTTCTAAGTAACCTAAAATAGAAAAAAAAAAAAACCACAATTTAATGTTCTTTCATTTTTATGCCATTATGAATTCTTCTAAAGTAACCCTAAATGACCTTCACTGAGTTCAGAACAAGAGTTCACTTCCAATAGGGGCGCCTGGGTGGCTCAGTCGGCTAAGCATCTGACTCTTGGTTTCAGCCCAGGTCATGATCTCATGGGTCATGATCTCATGGGTCATGAGATTGAGTCCCTCACTGAGTCCCGCATCGGGCTCTGTGCTCAGTGGGGAGTCTGCTTGAAGATTCTCTCCCTCTGCCCCTTCCCTCACTTGTTCTCTCTCTCACTCTAAAATAAATAAATAAATATTTTTAAAAAATAGTTCATTTCCAATAAACATGCTTTTAACAATATAATAAGATATGAGTACTGATCAACATATGGCTATGGGAAATAATCTCTTGAAGAAATAAAAAATAAAATTTTGTAAGTGCAAAAAGTGAGAGCTTATATGCAATGTACTCATACATTGTATATATACAAATCTCTCTAGATCCAGTTCTCTACCCAGGTAAAGCCATTCCTTTTATGAATAGTGTTCTTGGAAATTTCTCTAAACACCCTGGCCTCACGCCAGGGTGTTTAGAGAAAGTAAGTCCTAAAACTGTACCTAACGCCTCACGCCACTCTCTTGTCAGAACCCCAGCCCTACCCTTACTGCCTATTATGTGTATTCTTGCCTTGTCCCTTCAATGTGAAGAGTAAATGTCCTTCAGAAGTTCGTTTTCTCTCTCCTTTTTTTCCCCCAGACTTCCTTCGTCATCTGGGATCTTCCCTTCTCCTACGTTGCCACAGTGGGCCTTGAATTTCAGCATTCTGATACATTTCACTGGGGAAAGAATTTGTTCCTCTACCTGTACCAGCTACTAGAGCTGTGAGTAGGACACAACAATGGGAGCATTGCCCCAGCACACAGATATTTAGAGCATGTCCCTATTTTACATAATGATTCTTTCATGCTATTCTCTGTACAGCGGTTACCTTTGCACACAGAGCGCAGTGTAGAAACAATAAGCTTATCTACTTACCAAGAATACGTAAGGGGAAGCTATCAGATCCTGCCCCCTGGTCAACAGTGCCTCACCATGACCACAAAGTTGGATTAAGGATTTGTGTACTCTTACAAAATTTCTAGTACAGCTCTGCCAGACACAGTGATATCCCCCCATGCCTCTTCATGGTATCTCTCTGTTAGGTAGCAATTACCCTTTCATCACAGAGCTGGCAGAATATTTCTGTTCTCTTTACTCCTCTCACATGGCACTAACCCAATGGACAAGTTAATGGGAGAAAGCTACCAATCCACATTCAAAGGTTGCCTAATAAAGTGAATCGGTTGTAGTGACTTAAGCTTGTGGGTAGGCATATGGTACTCTTGCTCTCAACAGTGCCTTTTCCTCTAAAATAGATTTTTGTGAGTTTACTTTGAAGAAAACTTGAATTACAAAATTTCAAATTATACTATAGAGATAAAAACACAAAATTACAAAATATCCAAAGCTGAACATATTTACCTGTCCTTATTCGTACGAACATATCAAGAAGATAGATTATGTCTGATAGGTAATCAAAAATGAGCCAGCATTCTAGGTAATCAGACTGAAGTTCATCAAAACATGCTCTGTAAAAGAAAAACTTGTGTAATTAAAATGAAATGGGGGCGAGTTTAAGTAAATGTCCTCTCTGCATAATTTTTATCATGGTAAGAGATCTAATGAACTAAGACTAAGAGGGTCCTTAGAGTCCATAGAGTCCATTTAATCAACCATGGCTTTTCTGAATCTAAGTGGTTGGATTTAGTTTTCTCCTGCCTCTGAATTCCAACATTCTTTCCATTATACTAGTTCACATTGTGAAGACATCAAATAAAAATAAATGGCCTCAAGCTAATGTCAAAATACATTGGGTTATACACACTGATAACCAAGTTCTTATTGACTATCTGCACCCAAAATGCTTCAAGGAATTGTGCTTGGTTCTGCATGGCTGAGATGTTTACTGTCTAAAAGACAGAGAACCATAGAAATCGCTTGGGAAACACATCTTGCTCTAAAACAACCTAGATCTTTGATCTTTCTCCACTCTTGTCAACCTTTTTTTCTTAGAGTCCAAAAAATAAAAAAATAAAATAACAAAGTTTCTCCCAAAATTCTAATTAAGTAGTTCAGCAATCAAAAGTTTAAAAATATCCCCCTACTCCCATCCCAGTACTGGATTTCTAAGTATATTGGGAACCAAAGCACCTACTCCTGATTTAGGAAAACACATTGAAAATAATGTAACCTCTTTACAACCTGTGGTGGAGAAAAGAGGTATGTCCTGAAGAGCCCTTGACCAAACTGTTAAGTCAGGTAACTTAGAAACTAGAAGCAGGTCAAGATCCCCAAAAATATATAGATACCTTGCAATAATCATAGTCCAGTTGTACATAACAGGTAAAGTGATGCAAAACAGCCAGTTGTAATACATGTTTCCTGAGGGATCAATAACCTTGACTTCTTTCTTCTCCCTAGCAGCAATTAGAAATAAAGTGGGAGGTTACCAAGGAACAAGGACATTTTTATTTCATATATCAAATACGGTTCTGTCCATCACCCACAATTAATGAAACAGAAGTAAGCTGGAGAAACTCACTCTACAAGGAGAAAACTAGCTTGGCATGAGTGTGGTAGACATAAGAAATTGCTTGGTGAGGACTGGATAGATAGTTAAAGTACCAGTCTTACATTCAACCTTACGTTAGACTTTTTTAAAGCCCTTGTTTTATTGTGATGTTGTGGACATTTCTACCAATCCAGCCACTGAAAAGGAATAGTGGCACAGATCATGCTAAACTCTGGAATAGTCCATTGACCTCTTTGGTAGGTTATGGGGTGAGAGAATGGGGTGTTGCCCTTCCCCTAACAGGTAACAGAACAATCAGGAACTATGCTGTGAGAGGGAACTCATGGCCTCATTCTCACCTATATGGAAAGAAGAATATAACACAATCTAATAAAAAGTCCTTGTTCATAAGCATCTATGAAGGATGAAGAGGCGACAGAGGGCAGAGGCAAGGAAGG